AGTTGACCGTACGCCCCTGTATAAGGAGTGGATTGGGGGTGGTGTTTTTGCCTTTGAAGAAAAGACTATTTATATTTGGCAAATCTCCCTTTTAAGCCCTTAGGCTTACTTTAAATTAACCCCTAAGCCCTTCAACTTATAAAAATAATGTGAATAAATCCTCAAATCCCTTAAATGATGTAAATTAACCCATAATCCCCTTGAATGATGCAAATCAACCCTCATCATTAAAAGCCCAATGCATGTGACTTCATGCCATTTGTTCTTTTCTTTCATTTGGTCTCTCCTTTCGTTGTGGATCAAAAGACTTTGTAGGTGGTAAAAAGACTTTGTAGGTGGTAAAAATCCTACTAAAATAATCTATGTTGTTTAAGAATACTAAATAATAAAAGGAAGTCATAGAGGCCATTTTGGTAGGATTTTTACTGCTTAAAGGTTTCTTTGATTCACATCAACCCATGTGAAAATGTGGAACCAAGCAAAAGAAATGAACAAATGATATGAGGTTGCATGTATTGGGCCATTTGAATCTTTCAAGAGGTTTGAGGGCTTATTTTCGTCATTTTTAATTTAAAAGCTTATATATTGGTTGGGGTAAGTCTAGGGGCTTAAGAGGGGATTTTGCCTTTATATTTCTTCTAATTGAAGTGTTGCGGTGAATATTGACACTTAGCTGCTCGGACCTTTAATTTTAGATTATATTTAGTTTGAAAAAAAAAATAAAAATCAAATATTAAATTTAGAACATGCTTAGTTCTAGAGAAGAAGAATAATAAATGAGATTAAAATTTAAGATTAAAATTTAAAATTAATTATGTAATATAAGTTACGTCATTTACAATATTAAAAGATAAATTTTATATTATTTAATAATTAATTTTTTTAATTTTTTGATTTATAATATTATATATATTAATTAATTTAATAATATAATATAAATCACGTTATTAATTTCAAATTTTCATCCAAATTTTTTAGCTACCTATCATTACTCTTCCGAGAAATAAAAAATGCTCAGGTGGAAGTTTTCTCTGTGTTTGAATTAGAAAAAGGTTAACAACTAAACTAAACAAGGATTTGTTAGAGATGACATCTATTTCAGAATTATACCGACGAGAAGAAAGTGGTTGAGCTGTCACCCTTGAAAAGGAAAAATAATGGAGGCCGAAGTCCACGGGAATACAGACAGTCGGACAGGGCACATAGGCTTTTCTTCTTTTTTTTTTTTTATCAAAGGCAATTTTTGGGGGATGAGAGATTGAACCCAACCTATGAGATTAGGTGATACACACCGTTACCAAGCGGCTTACAAGGTCAGGTGTGTGGGCACATAGGCTTTTGCTCTGTAGTAAGCCCATGTAAAACATCTAGTTAAACCCATTAAACTATTATTCTATGGGCTGGTAGGTTTAGGCTGTGGTAGACTCAAAGCATAAGAGCAGAAGACAATTTTCATTATTTTACCACCTTATTGTAGTCATCATAATCGAAAATGGTGGCAGAATCAAGAAATGGTAAAAGTTTCAATTTCTAACCATTAATCCAAATCTAAATTTGGTGGAAGAAAATAACTTTATTTTAGTGTGTGGGATGAGAGGTTGAAGATGAAGAGTTTTCTAGAGGAAAAATGAAGGTTTGGTGCATGAAGAGGAAGCTGGATCTATGAAATTTGTTTTATCTTTTGAAAAATGAAGGAAAAAATTATATATATATATATATATATGCAATTCCAATTTTGTAATTTTGGGCTGATGGGTTAGAGTTGCCCAGTGAACTAATGGGTAGATCTAGGTTAGGTAGGGACAATTGTTGAGTTTTGAGTGGTTCTGAGTACTACTGACATTTTTTTGGAAGTGATATCTTGAATTATCTACTAGTTCCAACGAAGGACCGTTGGTTCCAGCAAAGGACCATTAGTTTGCTAGAGACTGCCCATTTTTTATAATTCTTCCAATCATACGAAATATTATTTTTAGGGGGTATTTGAGTACAACCAGCAAAAACCAGATCTGCCAAGGATTTTGGTAGATTTTCCAAGCTCAATGTAATTTTTTTAACAATTTCTAATGTAATGAAACTTGTGTAGCCACATTTGCATTAAATATAACTGTAAGGTGCTGATGGAGACTTAAATAGCATCTCTAGTTGGTTTTTAGCAAGATTTTAGGTCTTTTAATTAGCATCAAATGGTACAGTTTTAGGATCAAGTTTTGTCTTCACGTCTTCCACCCAGCCTTTCCTGGTGAAGTTGGGTAACATCGCCAACTCCAAGTTTGGATGGCACGAATACCTCACTTCATCAAATGGGCAATGTTTATCCATTCATGCCTGCCAATCCACTACTCTCATAGTTTATCCCAAATAATCCCCATGACATTGGATTCATGGGTTTGTGTTTATCTACAATGAAAGCAAGATAGGAATGAGTATTTGTTTAAATATTTAAGTGTAAAATATATGAATATGTGTAGTGAAGAAGGATACTCCCTTGTTTATTGAAGGGAATGATGAGAATAAAAACTACTATGCCTTTTTGTCCACTGGCCATGGCGAGCACTTGTATAATGCCACTGTGTATGTCTGACATTGTGCCAAAATAAAGAATGAGTAATATGGATGTGTGCTGCCATATCATTTTCCCAAGCCAAGCATTGTTGGTTAACGATACCTACCAACATGTAAAAATATAGAAGAAATATGTTGTGGATTAGAATAATCAGCGACCAGTAATTTTCTCCATTTATGTAGAAGAATAATAATGTGTATAACCACCAGCCATGTTGTATAAGTATCGTAAGTTCAGCCATGAATAGCTTCCCTATAGTTAGAGGGACAACAGTGGTTAGCTATGCCTATAGTTGGAGCATGAACTATGTTGAATCGAAAGAGCATTTTGCCATAGCAATGAACAAGTGATAAAGATAGGTGGAGTTGTCTCCATGGAAGGGGGGCGTTAGCCGCATTGATGGCCTCCAATATGACAATGTGTGATACAACTAACAAATGCTAGCCTTTCTTACCATACCTGCATCATTAAAGGGTGGTCTTGGTTGTTGTTACCTACTGGGTACCGCACCACCATGCATGGGTGACCACCAAGGAACCGTTGATCGCTACTTGATGGGTTTTTATCACTAAAGAGTAGCCATCCCATCCAATCACAGGGTTGCAACTGTTACCGGTCTCATGCTAATTGTAACGAGTCACGCTAACTCTTTGTCCATTTCCGGGAGTCAGTAAGATAAAATATGTAGAGATCCAACCCTTTGTTCGTTTCCAAGAGTTAGTGTAATGAAGATATGTAGAAATGTGTAACTTTTTACCTAATGCTAAAGACTAGTTAAATAAGATAACAAATCTGACCCTTTGTCTATCACTGGGAGCTATGTGGATATAGCTCATTGTCCATTGATGGGAGCTATGTATGTGTAGTAAAGTAGGCTCTTTATCCATTGCTAAAAGCCAAAAAGATATAGCAGTAAATATTGCTATAGAGAACACGATTGTCCAAAACGTTTAACCATGTCGTAGAGATAAATATAGCTTTGTTTGGCCATGTGTATGAGAATGATATTAAAGTAGATCATGTCTGTAGTATTTTCAGCGAAGTGAATGAATGTTGCTTTTGGTGATATTGACTCTATTGTAGTAATAAGCAGAAAATGGGAATGGTATGTCTAATGTGGAAAGTATATCATGTGCGTTTTTGTTGACGTGGCGCTACACAAATTCTCAATTTTAAAACAATACAAATTCATCTCTTAACAATAAGTGTGAGGAACAACCATTATGAACAACTTCAATTTAAGTTTTTGAAAGGCTCATGATAGTTTCCTCCATGGCAAAGTGGGACAATTGTAGCCTTTGGTTCGTCAATTCCAGCAACGGTTACTCCTACCCTCTCCCATTCCCTTTCTTACTCTCTTACCTATTCCCTTTCTCATTCTCAATCTCAATCCATCTGAGATCTGACCTGGTTACTTTGACTAAGAGCCTCAAATCTGGTTCTCAGTTTTAGAGCCTCAGATCTTTTCCTTGCCACTCACATTCATTAGTGCCCGAATTGGCCGATCGCCTCTCATTACTCGCGTTTGTCGGTCACTGATCACTACTCATGTTAGTCATCACCGTCCGTAGCTCACTACTCACATTCTTCAAAGTTCAAACCCATTTTTCTTGATTGGAAGTGGTTTTATTGTTTGCTTGCCTAGAAAGCTAGAGAAAATTCAAGAAAACTAAAGTGGTAATTTGCAGCAAAATTATATTGGAGATCTGCAATGAAAATTGTGTTTTCATCTTGAAATTGGAGCGAGAAGTCTAGGTGTTGAACCCATCGCAAATAATTTTTAAAAAATTGAGAATTTACACTTGATTTTGGAAGAACAAAGAAGAAATTATTGTGTTTTTATTTTTCTTTTAATCTAATTAAACTTAAAGGTTTAATTAATGCAGTTAATGAGTAATTAAAGTTAATTATATTTTAATTCAAAAACTAAGCCATAAAAAGTTTTAATTTTTACAAGAATCCCAATAGTTTTATATGAAATGCTAACAAGAATTCAAAATTTCATTCATATCATTTTTCCTTTTTTCGATCACGTGGATTTTCACGTCATTCATATAAAAATGAAATCAGGTAGTTCTGTTAATTGATGTTCTATGTTAACAAAAACTTAAAGAAAAGATTAAAAAGGTTGAAAAGTTAAACTTAAGGGACTAAATTTTTTTGTTTTTAATTTAAAACAAAAAAGAACTCCATAGAAAAATTGAGGAACTAAAATAAGACTTTAACGTGAAAGCTGCAGACACACCACACTTGCTTAATTTATGATAATAAAATGAAAAACATAAGGATAATGGTAGATTCACCCCTGTTTTTACACACTCCGTTATACCTTTTAATTTCTGTTACTGTCCGTTAATTACACTTAACTCTCCATTACCATCTTTCCTTTCTCTTCCTAGCTGTTCACCATCCTCACTAACCAGACCAAAACCTGCAATTTT